GAGTCATATACAATCAGTGTTTGCATTGTAGGCTAATTTTCTACTCTGGGATTTGATTCAGGCACCAGCATTGCAAGTCACTGAGTTTCCCATAAAAACTAAATCTGGGTATAGACCTAGAGGAAAACTTGAATTTCCACTTTACTGGAAATTTATTCACTTTGACATCTTTTTGTTTTAATTCAAGATGAAAGGATATTTGTAAGATTTTCATATTTTAAAATGTTTGTGTTTGCTTTATCTTAAATTTAATGATTGCACACTTGTATTAGTGCTTAAACTGCTAGTTATATGGAATAATACTTAAAGGAATCTTTTTCATAACCAGTAAGAACATCTTCTACTTAATGTTGGTTGAACTGTATATTGCTTTGCATTCACAGTGTTTACAGTGTCACAGTGTTCTGGTTTCGGCTGGGATAGAGTTAATTTTCTTCCCAGCAGCTACTGTGTTCTGGATTTAGTACGAGAATGGTGTTAACTCCGATGTTTTCAGTTGTTGATATGAAATCTAGGACTTTTTCCAGTTTCTCATATTCAGCCAATGAGCAGGTGTGCAGGAGCTGGGAGGGAGCACAGACAGGCAGATAGCCCAGCTGGTCAATGGAAATATTCCATACCATAGACGTTATGCTCAGTTTATGAATGGGGGTTGGGCAGGGAGCAGGAAACATTCTGCTCTTATCCGTGAGTTTGAATCCTCTCTTGTCCGGGAGTTCGAAGTTTTCCGGGAGTTTGGCCTTTTTCAGGAGTTTTGCGAAAATTCACAAAAATCCCTGAGTTCTGGGTTTCGCAATCTCTGCTCAGGGACTGACTGCGAATCAGTCATCGGGTGGTGAAAAATACAGTATTATATATAGTTTGTTTTGCATATTCATTATCATTATGACTATCATTATTAGTAGTATTATTGCTAGTATTAGGATTTCCTTTGTTGTCTTACAAAACTGTCTTTATCTCAACCCACGAGGATTCCCTTTTGTCTATTTCTCCTCCCCATCCCACTGAGGGAGAAGACAAGGGGTGAGCGAGTGGCTGCCTGGTGCTGGCTGCTGTCTGAAACTACAACACATAGCAGTCCCAGAATGAGCAACCGGTTCAAGTGTCAAACTCTTTCAGTATGACAAACAACAAGACTCTCAAAAAGAAAACTTGTTCCCGTTTGAAATTAGGACATAAAGAATAAAGTAAAAGATTTCAAGCATTATACTGAACACTGTTACTGCCAAGGTAAAAAGAATATTAACAATAACATAAAAAACGAATGGCTTTATGGGTCAAGATGAAGTTTGAGAATTCAGAAATGGAATTCCAAAATATTCCAAAAGGAAATATCTTGAATAATGTCTACTTCAAAATTTTGTCCATTCTGAACCTTCATCGTATTTTACAATAAGAATTGTTTTAATTTAATCTTATTTCACTTTTCATCAAAAACTGTAACAAAAAAGCCCAACTAGCTGCTATTTTGTAACGCATATTTGAACTGGCATTTCCTGAGCTTATGAAAAACGAAGCACTCCATTTTACTTACATGAATAAGGATGCTCTAATCCCATGTTGAAGTATTAATCTTTTGCAGTTCTTTTCTGTGATGTAAGACAATTTAAAACTCACAGCCAAGGAGAATTTCTGCCGCTAACCTGCAACCTGTCACAAAACCAAATTTTCAGGGATAATCGTGTCATCTGTCTGGGCACAGCGAGGACCATCTGGTCCACAAGGGATGGTGAATCAGGAGCCGAGCAGGACAACAAGGCAGGTGGGAGCAGCACCTTCCATCAAGGAGCCAGGATGTGGAGCTGTAAATCCAGGTGGTGATCAGGATCAGACATCGTCCAGTGCTCTCCCGGGATGCCCACAGTGACACAGGGTTCTCACTGGCAATGGACTAAATGCTTCACCAGCCAGCTAAACACTTTACCTTTGCCAAGTCATCTCCTATAAGGGGGATTCACGTCTGGCCCTGACATCAATAACACAGCAACACAGCCTTACGAGCTACAGGTATGCAATATAGCTGAATGAAAAATCACATTTAATGTGAAGAAGTCATTCAAGAGCATCAATGGGTGACTATATAAAAAAAGCCTGTTATTGTTGCCTTTTTTAAATGTACCAATATGCTCCTTCATTAAGAATAAAATAAATAAGGGCTATGGGGAAATATTTATGAGGAAAAATCATCCATCAAGAGCAAAGCATATAAGAACAGTCTGGGAAACCTCAGTGCACGCTTGCCATGCAGACATGTTCTGAAGGCTTCCACAGAGCCACACAAAATGAGCCAGGGTATTACAGTGCAGGTTTTAATGCACATGGAAAATATCCCAAATAAAACTAATTTATCATTTGATTTTTTTTCCTAAAACAATAGCTCCAAATTCGAGAGTAATGGAAATCTTACCACGCATGCCAGCGGGCTTCATGCAGGCTGAGCGCCACATGCAACATTGATTTCTGCCCCCAGCAAGGGTCCACCTATGGGGATCAGCAACTGGAGGGTGAAAGAAATGATGAAGGGCTCACTCATTTCCAATCCCTCCATCATTTCTTTCCCAGTTCCTCACAGAGGTAGACAACAGATGTGCAGTCTTTGCTCCTTGCAGGACAGCTAGAGATGTTACACACTAGCCCTGCTCCCCCCACCCAAATGCTGAAATAAAAACTGTTGCAGCCAGTATACAACAGGGCTCTGACAATAAAAGTAATTTTCTTTCTATCTTTTATATCTAGAGCTGCAAAAATATATCCTGAAGAACACAAAAACTGGGGGAAACAAGTGTTTTTTCCATTGCCTTTATTTTTCATCTTAAATTTTAATAGAAATTGAGACTGCTTAAATGCTTTACACATCAAGGCAATCTTTATAAAAAGTTCTGTGACTTCCAGCTAAAATAGCAGCATTTGGCTTTTGAAAAATCTTCCCACCTCCTCAAAAGGCCTCTTTTCATGTTTCAGAGGAAACTGAACATTACAACAGAAACTTTCAAAACTTGGATGAAAAATAAACAATTAGCAACTCCAGCACACACATAATGAGCGAGCTCCAGATATCCGTAACTCAGGTTTGGACTGTTTTAATACAGCTGCAATGATTCGACAAAAGTATGTTGGAGATTTAAACCGTTTCTGAGGATTTCTACAGCAGGCAGGAAATAATCATGATATTCAAAAGGTGTTATTCTAAACAAACAAATTGCTTCACTGGAATTGTTAGCTCCCTGCAAATTCTGTAAAAAGTTTTTGAATATTAGTGTAGAACCATATTCACAATATTTAACAGGTTTCATTATACAGTTGGAAGAATTCCTAACATATAGGAATCATACCTACCTTTATTAGAAAGAAAGTAAAGCAATCAAAGGACCGTTCATTTCTTAGAGTGACTGATCCGGAGCTGGGCTGCTATTCAAATACTATGAAAATTTGTTACTGATCTTCAAAGTTAAGAGCAAACACATATATAAAATGGATTCAAATTCACAGAGTAAATATAGCAAGTAAAATGGTTTCTTAGGTGTATAATTATACCATTGTATCAAATAATGTCACACTGTGGATATGAACAGAACTGTATGATCATTGACTGTTTATATACCACAGCACTGTAGAGTTGATGTGAGTCAGTCTTGCCTTGCTTTAGGGAAATCTCTGACACCACATGCCACATCCACTATGGATATCCTGTAGACCAAGCTCCCATAATGATCAGATACATATTTTCATTACTATGTTATACAAAGGATCATTTCTCCTTACAAATCATCTTAAAACACTCTACAAAGTATTCCTCCAAAAACAGTCAGAGATTTTGCAGTCAGCTTTCACTGACTAACAGCAAGATAAGATATCATGCAACTGTCTCCTAGGAAAATCCCAAGTAATTAATCATTTCCTTTGTAAAATAATGTTGTTGATTTTTTAACTATACATCACATTTTCCATCACATGCAATTGTAAATTGGGTACATAAATTATTTGCGCAAAATTACTTATTACTGCTATACACAGAATCAGGAAAGTTTTGGAAACTTTTGCTGCTTTTCAGGGGGTTGTCCTTACAATCTGAGTAAACATGTAAGCTGCTTCCCTATCAAAAGGAACTGCTAGCTAAACCGTTCTTATGAGATTCGTTGTCTATTTATGAAGTTTGCCATAAATTGTGGAGGGCTGGTATTTTGTTTGTTTTGTAACAAGATGCACCGAGACCATCTTACACAAATGTGAAACATGTTTACTGTAAGAAATTATTTGGGGCCTGAAATAGTTTGTGCACTGAATAATTCTCAACTAAATAATACACAAAACCCAAATCTTGCTTTTACCTTTAGCCAACCACAAAACACTGACAGGACTGAGATCTCTCTGTCAGTACTAAATGATAAGATCTTTGTCCTCCCTCAGCACTACAGCTCAGTTTACTTACGTGCCTCCTTGTCATACATCTGTGAACAGGTTAATAAAGAAACACTACAAAGTTGGTAGGACTTCTGATTTTTTGGCTTGCTTTGGCTGTGTTTAAAAAAAAAAAATTGTAACACCTTCACATCTGAACAACTTACAGTAATATTTGTACTTATTAACTGGAGTATACAAAATATTTGCCTTGTTGCTGCAATATCCCTGTAGCACTAGAAGCAATTAACACTTATAACTACAAATTTTGCTAAGATAAAAGAATATCAGGAAATCTACTTCTTCAGGAATAATCATTCTAACAGCTAGAGGCCAAATTCCGCCTTTCCTTGCAGTCATGCAATTGCATTTGTTAACTGTTGTGAGGGTAGAATTTCGCCACAAACCAAATTTTTATCTAAATGCATATATTTTCCTACAGAAAAAACAAGCTAAGTCTTATTGCTGCTCTTCCCTTCTGAAGGGTAAATACTGATATTTGAAATACCTAAATTGTATTTACAGCTGTACAACACTGATGCCAAATACTTGCAAAATACCACTTGTATTCTATAAACATGGGGTAACTTCTACATTCGGCTTAAAATCTTTTCTTGAAATAAAGAAAGAGCAGACAAGCTTAGACATTTTCCTTGTCAAATTCACACACAAAATACATGGTAATATGACACGCAACATCATTCCACCCTCCAGATGCCACCATCTCCACACAGTCCTCCTCGTCATAAGCATTGTTGGGCTCCCCACTGCGCCATTTGTTGAAGGTCTGCATGGGCGATCGGTCAGAATAGACAAAATTTCCCTCTTTCTCTAGGTCATTAATCCCAATGAAAACTCTGGTGAGCCCGGCTTGGTTGATGTACGAGGCGATCAGATTGTTGGCAGTCTCATCCTTGGGCATGCTCAGCGTCCCTCCTCTTCCATGGCAGTAGAGCTGGGCTTCCTTGTACCTCTTCTCTTCCTTCACCAGCAGATATATCTTATTATCTGTCTCACGCACACCAGCAACAGCTGCGGGGGAGGGCAGTGCTGAAAAGTGAGCACTCGCATTTCTATAAACCAACTTACTGTACACCCCAACATAGCTTCACAAATCACATGTGGGATGGTAATGCTCTCTGTGAGCAATTCCACCAGTAAAATGCAGCAATGAGAAAGGAAAATATTTATGTAATAACATTAACCTACCATTTTTTATGAATTTTAGTTCTGTTGTCAGCTGGGCCACTTGGATATCCATTTCACCAATAGCCTTCCTTAGCTGGCTGCATTCACAGGGGATGCCTGTGAAATGATACATATACACCAAAATCAAAATATTATCTGATTTCAATAATTATCTAAACAATTTTATGAAAAGACCCAGCCTGGCAGCCCTGGAGAGGGCTGTCTTGCAAATAACAGACAGAAACCCATAGCCTTCAGTACCCTGCACCATCACATGGTTCTCACAGGTGTATGAGCCTGTCCACAACAGCTCAATTCCCTTCCCATGATACTTCAGGCCTGCATGATTAGAGCTAACCTAAATACAGACATATTCCCTGAAAAAAAAAAAAAAAACTTTTTTTAACCAAAAACCTTTGTCAAAATTCCCCATTTTGAGTAAATTATTCTCTTCAGTCTTCTCCAAAGAGTACTTTTTTCCACAGCAAAAGTCTGTAAAATGCATTGTTCGCCTGTTCCTCACAAGGAACATAACACAGCAGATCCAAAAGGCTAATGTTCCAACCATGTAATGCACATAATTACCTGCAAAAGCTAATTCTGTACTTTTGAAAATACAGAATTTAATATACCTCTTCCAATAGAAGAAGACAATAGGAACCCATCTATTCACCCAAATTGATATTGGTTTGACAAAGGTAATCTGAATGAGAATGATAAAAGGATAATTGTTACATCCATGAGCTCAAATAAGGATCAATTACAGTTTCCAGTTCTGTGTGTAATTATTCACATCTGCATTTGATTACCGAATTACTCAGCTTAGGTGTCTAAGCCAGTCTAAGCATCGGGTACTCACACTGCAAAACTGTGCTAGATGACGAGATATGTGGTATTCTGGCTTGAGCATTAGCGTGACACAAGAAAACTAATTGCTGCACCTTTAACGCACCCTACCAGGAAGCGACAAACTGGGCAAAATCTACATCTGCCCCTTTTGTAAGGCTTACGCTTCTTGTGCCAGGCTTTCACCTATCCCTCTGGTGGATCTGTGTTCCCAGTAATCTCCTACTCTTAGAATGATAATCCATGGAGGAGTAGGAGCTTCCAATCTGCTCTTTTGTGTTGGCTGGAAGCCAGAATGGGATGTGCAGAGATGTCCGTTTGCACTGGTGATGAATGATACAGGCAGTTGCACTTCGGTTCCCGCTAGCCTTCTGGAGTGATCAAACCTCTGAGGAGCTCTGAGGCATTGTTTCAACAAATACACAAGTCCAGCAACTGCTGCAGCTTCAATAATTTCAAGTAATTTGAAAATGCTACAGTGAAATACTACAGCAGCTATACAAATATTTAAATTATCATTATTTCCCCTAGTATGTAAACAGACACGTATTTTTGGTGATGATATGTGCATCTGGTAAAATCCTTCACATACACAAGGTGTGTCACGAATTACCTGGGTCACCATTAGGACCTGGTGGTCCTATGTCACCATTATCTCCTTTTTCACCTAAAAACATGAAAAATAAGTTTAAGAAAGCTTTTTAGGTCAACTGTTCATTTAGTGCTTATTTATTTTTTCTCTAGTAACGTTCAAATGTGGAAAGTAGAAATACCTCAAGCAAAAATAAAGATTTTTCTGTCCTAGTTGGTGCACTACAAAGGCCAGCCAAATATATGAAACTTGAACATAAAGAATATGTACCAACACCCATTTTTTTAAATTTGTGAACTTTACAGAACCAGTAAGTTCAGATGTTGCACAGGGAAAAGGGCTGGATATGCTATGTTGGAGCCTAAATCTAAATTCATAATCTAGATGCTTAAGTAAACACTGGTCTAAATTACTTCATCAGTCACATAGGAAGCTTATGGGGTAGGCAAGATTAGAATTCAAATCTTCTGGCTATTAAAAGTTTGCAAAAATACAGTGCATCTTCCCATCTACTTCTCTTAACTGTCCAGACTTGTGTGATGGTGCACAAAGGTCTGTCTTTATTCTAAATACATTCTTTATATATTCTAAATATGCTGCTGTCAGAGTAAAAGCTAACTGGCTAAGAGATCTCAGTCATGAGGCTGACTACAGTGTGAGAAACTCCCTATTATGGTAAATTCCGAGACTAGTCAATCGTCTTTCAAGCCCCTAAACTTTTTTCAAACATAAACGATCACCAACTTTTCATCTGAAACGCAAGTGCAGAAACAGCTGAACTAAGCATACCTTTTGAGCCAATAGGACCAATTTTTCCATGCCGTCCCATGCTGCCTTTCTGTCCTTTGTCCCCCATTTCTCCTACACATAACAGAAAGACAAAAGACACATGGTAGCAATGCAGATTCTAGCAGGCTTGCAGTATCAGTTTTTACAAAAAGCAAAAACAGGCTATATCCCCAACATTCATTGAACTCCAAAAGTCCAGGTCTCCTTGTGAAGAACTTGCGTATCACAACCTATGCAGTGACTTAAGCTTTGCGAAGCAATTGGCATTAAAGAGGCTTGCAGGTGTAACTGAAAACTGATCTTGGCTGAGAGCCACTAGAAACGCTTTGCAAACTTCTGATGATCATGGCAGAATTTTGGGGTTGGACTAGATGACCTTTAACAGTCCCTTCCAACCCAAACTATTGCATGATTCTACGATTATGTTGAAAATAAGGGGGATTGTATTGAAATATGGATCAGTGGTTGAAAACTAACATGGAGCTGAGAAGACCTAAAGGATCCAAGCACAACTGACGGTTTCATCCAACACAGCAGTTCCCCTGTAACTGAGAGCTGAATTTGGGCTTCATGGCTTCTTTATACAATATAAACACCGTGGAATCAGTCACATCCTCATTCTTTGCTCTTGCATTTGAAGATTACATTAATAAAAAAGGAAAAGTAATGGAGATCTTCCATAGACATATATATACAGACACACGCACATGTTCATACAAAGTCTGGCTCAAACCAGCAATGCTGAATGTTACTAATTTTAAAGACAGTTCTAAGGAATATTTCAAAGTGCAGTTGCAGCACAGGAGTTGCTAAAAATCATTTTCTTCAGCCTTGTTTTTACAAATAAAAGGCAACTATCCACCTCTTAAAGTCAACTGAAATTGTCAACAAATCTGCATGAGCCAGCCACTGTCACCTATGTGTGTCCATGAGGCAAACCCAGAAATCAAATGTAAGACAGCTTGATTCACTTTGTCTGACTTTGACCTCTTTTCTATTAGTTGTACTTTCCTGCGTGATGTAAAGTGAATATTCGAATGGCTTCAGGGGAAACGGAATTTGCACTGGAACAGGCAGTTTCTTTGCCATCACTGTCTTCACAAAGCAAGCTGAAGCACTGTTACTAACAAAATGTGTGCCACAGCCCAAGCATTGATATCACTGACCTGAGCTCCTCCAGAGCTCGAATAATAAAACAGATAAAACATGCCTGTTATGTCATATGTTTTTTCTGGATGGCATTTCTCAAACATTATGAAAAATAATTATCTTTATGGTGTCAATCTGTGAGAAGAACTTTAGCCTGTAATAGGAAAGCCTTATTCAATCCCATGTCTACAGAGCTTATCTACAAGTTTAGGGGATCAGCAGTGGAAATCATTAAGCACTAGTCACCTACAGAGTAAACACAGTAGGCTTGCACACAACTGAAGGTTTTAGCTTAAACAAAGCCATTTATAGTCAATAAACTCTACATCGTCTAAGCTTGTCAATTTATTATTTCTAAATGATATTTTGATTCTGGCATTGGTTTAGAGAGGATTCCCTGATTTGTTTTAGGTAGGCTTTCTGACACCTGTGAAATGAGACCTGTCACTTTGTTACACTCACTATGTAGTGAATGTGGCAGATTATATCTGATGCTGCAGTTGCTATGGCCCGAGGAACCTCAGGAAATAATACCACACCTCATTACCTGAGGTATCAGGTAATGCACCCTTTTCTGGGTGCATTACCTGAGCAAATCAATGCTCTGCCATCAGATTTAGGCCTCTTTGTATCATGATTTCAAGGAGAAACATGGTCTGGAGGCAGCACAGCTGTACAGCTACATCATATGAGACGGGTTTTCCACTGTACCACACAGTATGAATGGAGAGCAGGTATGGAGAGACTACAGGGAGGAGAAGCCATATGCCTTCTGAGGCTCCCATCCTGCAGAAACCCAAGATCACTTTCAGAAATATTCATGCAGTTTTTTCAACAATTGTTGAAAATCATGTTTCTTTGCTCAAAGCAACATCTGGTATGCACCGTTTGGCTACACAGGAGCATGGAATCAATGAGACAAGTTAGGAGGAACACCTACCACAGGGATCCAGCAGCTGAACTTGTGTAAATTGTCATAGCTCAGCCTTAGTTGTGGATCTATGACAACTGAAGATCTGTTGCCCTCTGTTGTCACTGCACCTGAACAGACAGTCACATATTTCCTCTACATATTTTTACAAGCTGGATAATTTTATGATCCATTTCACCTTTAACTTAAAAGTGTAATCAGTAACAAGTTTCAGAATATAAATTGATCACCACTGGGCCAAGAGGTGTCCTCTGTATTACTCCATGAAGTCTCAAGCAACTGTCACTTGCTGGCATGAGTCAGGAAGAAAATTTCCTCTGAACTGACTTCAGTCAAATGTGTATGGCTTGTTGTTCCAATTAATTACTGGCAAGACCTACAATCAATGATTTTCCTTTGTTTCCAACAAGGATCAAATTCAGTCACCACTAGACATGGACTCAGGAAATTTTACCAGAAACAAAAAATATTTTTCTCTTATGTTGTATACTCCTACTGCAAGACTGGAAGTAATCCACTCCACCAGCTGAAGATCTACTCTCTGGAATACAGCTTCACTTTCAGAACTGAGTATTGACTTGGCTTAAAGATGCAACCCATTGGGCTGTGCAGGTTATAAAGGTACTGATGCTACCATTGGATATTCATCCAATATAGATCGTATATTGAGAGGGTATTTCCTTGAAAATCTGAAAAGTATCACCTTGTAATGAGTTTGCTCAAGTTGCTTTGAAAGTGACCTTTCTTGCTTTGGGTATTTATGAATTGGGATTACTGTAAGAGATTGTCAGATGTTTGAATGTTTTCTCTTTTCAGGCTGCTACACCTGAAATTAAATAAACACATAGATCTCTTGTATAAATAAAATATAACATATAAAATTACTACATTTTCTTTCTCATAAATACTGCCCAGAAAACGAACTGCTTCTCAGTAATAGCCAGTAAAAGCTATGTGATCTGCTCAGAAGTAAAACTGTGTTATCTCAAACAATGAAGACATACATTAAGTCTCCTGTGCTCATTAAAAGAGCTGTTTGGATTTGGTTTTCTCTTACGGTGACTAACCCCTGCTTCTACTCCAGGGGCATGCTTATTCTGCTTCTTCTGCAGAATAAATCACAAGGTTTCAAGAGAGACCCATCTGCCTTGAGGGTTTCAAAAGTTTTAATACCTTTTTCAAAGTCCTTTTTAGCAGCCCTATGATTGCCAAAAATGCAGTCTAAAGAGTCTTAATGAAATCAGGAAGTGAGAGCTGGAAAAAAATGAGGACAACAAAAGAAATTAAGTCTCCATAGACAAAAAGTAGGAAATCTTTCAGAAAGTTTGAATTGAGAATATGAAGCAAGTCATCCGTCATCCCTCAGACGAAGGTGGTGCACACTGAAACAAATTACAGCAGACTTAAAGGATTTTGGAAGGAACTGAAGAGAAGGAAACTCTAAATGATCTTCTTGGTGGCCTTTCAGGCCCACAAACAAGAGAAGAAATAGAATACCAGACATGAATGGTAGACTGCACAATTAGTGAAAAAATGAGGGCTTTGGCTCTGTTCCACACTATAAATGGGGGACTTCATACGGTATGGCCAATCCCTGCAGACGGGATTAATCGGAACAGACAAGATGGGATAAAACTACTTAAAAAAAGAAAAAGATGTCAAAAAGACAGCAGAAACGCAAATTCACCATGTCGCAGACAAACGGAATCCTGTCAAAGGGAAGAGAGCAGTAGTTTACTTCTCAAACTTAAGGATTTGAAGATAAATCAGATAGAAATTCTACACGATTTGACATAGCAGACACCACGGAGACCGACCGAACACCCAAAGTAGAAGTGTACCAAGCCAGACCAAAGGCCGCTTGACTCTGGTGCCACCTTTTCCAGCAATCTGCAGAGGGTACTTAGAAAAAGAATGTAAGATATAGACCAAGCTTACAACGTCTTTCCGCTAGTGTACCTCCTTAGTCTTGCAGCAGTCAGCATTCCCAATGCAAGCATTTAGCCTGACTTGACTAAGAACAGTATTTTTAAAGGATATAATGATTTTATGGTATGGTAGTAACGTACATCCAGGACACGTAACTGTTTAAAACTTTTGGCAACTGGAAATCAGAAAATTCTGAACACACCAATAGACTATGGTACTGCTTTATGCTAAATAATATGAATTATCCATGCCACTGAAGGTTGGTGATTGGTTAGGGAACGGTGCCTACAACACAGTTACATCTTATACGAAGTGGCATTTTATGTAGTTGGGACAAATTAATTTCACCCAGCATTAGCCACTTGAAAGTTAGGTTTTTAGTCTAAGCTATTTATCTAAGCTCCCTTGGTAGGCAATGGAGAAACAAACACCTCTCAGCAGTGCTCCATCCCACTCATGTTAGACAGGTATCTTAATGACAAAGTGAAACTTTAAAAGCTTTGCATAACAAACAGGAAAAAAACCCCAGGAAGCTATGATCAATCCATACTGACTAGAAATCAGGAAAGCTAGAAAATTTGCAGAGGAAACTAAAGTTAGTAAGAAAAAATCCAATCTATGAAGACAGTAGAACAGTTTAAAAGATTTTAAAGTACATTCAAAGTGAAAGAAATGGAAATAGTATGGTTCTTTCCTGAGTGGGGGAGTTTATGTTCAGATGCATGCAAACACAAATAACTGCCCTTATGAAGCATATATCTTGCCAGAATTACATTAACAACATAATACGAAGCTTGTTGAGGCCAGTGGTCCCTCTAGCCCAGCACTGTGATTCCCACAGTGACAGCAAGAGGTGCAATATAGGGAGGTCACGCGACCCCAACCACTATCTGCAGCCCGTTGCAGATGGAGCTGCTGGATCAGTCCCCCCAGAAGTTTCAGTGGGTGCCACCTAGTTGAGGTATGTTGGGACCTGGTGAACAGCAGGTCACCCCACTCACTGCTTTTGTGATTCTGTAACCTCGATCACATCCCCCTCAGACTCCTTCGTACAGATGGAAGA